AATTATAAGTTTTCTTCAAAATGCCACCCATTTGCATTTATGCACGCTTGACTTCTACGTCTAACAGAACCGGTGGCATTTAAAATTTCTTGTGCTGAGAGTTCATTTGCTGTTCGCCTTACTCTTAAGATAAGTTCTGCTTGGGTCCTTACAGGGGTTAAGTATACTAGATCTTTTAATCTACCCCAAAAAAAAATCCATAGGAGTTACATCTGGTGAACGCGGAGGCCAAGCCTCTGGACCACCACGTTCTATCCACCTTTGATTGTAGTTGGTATCCAGCCATTCCCGCACTACTCTTCCGTAGTGAGCCTTAGCCTCGTCCAGCTGGATCCAGTGGTTTATTCTCATATTTAGTGGTAGATCATCCAACAATTCATAAAGATCATACCGTAGTAATCTCAGGAACAGTTGAGAATTCAGCCGTGGTGAAAGAATATACGGCCCGATGAGGCGATTTCCAAGTAAACCACACCACACATTGACGCTAAATTCTCTTTGAAAATTTCGTTCTCTTACGGAATGGAGATTTTCGTGCGCCCATGAATGAAGATTGTGGAAATTTACCACCCATCTTCTCATAAATATGGCTTCGTCTGTCCACAGAATTTTATTTTGCAAAAATCTACCTTCGTTTTCTAATATCCATCGGCAGAACTCCATTCTTCGTTCATTGTCGCCATCTTCTAATCCCTGCACTGGTTGAAAATGGTAGGGCCGCATATCGAACTTCTTGTGTGCGGATTATCCCTGAAATGCCTTAATGTGCGTGCATGTCTTCTTCTCTGTACACCATTTAAAGGTCTTTGCTGCTGATCACCTCGCCCTCTTGCATTTCGACCTCTTGGATTGATTATGTTGCAGCTTGCAGTTTCGCAAATGGGGTTAATGTACTGCACGAAATACACGAGCATGTGGCAACCTTTGTTGCGGAAATTGGTATGCGTATTCTCTCCGTGCCTCACCGGCATTCCCGTTTGCAAAACCATAAATGAAATGTATGTCGGCATACTCTTGATTGGAGAAAGCAAAGGGCATTTCTCAATTGATTCTGGAAAAACTACACGTACAGAAAACCTTTTTTGAAGTACAAACCAACACTGTTTACTGAAATGTCATCAATTGATGCTTTGGTAAAGCGATTACTTGTTACCCATTTTCAAGTAGATATTAATTTCACTCAAACTTGAATATTTTTGTAACGAAGAGCTAATAAAAATTTACCAAAGTAACTTTCTTTTCCTAGTTGAACGCAGAATTTAAAAATTCAAAAAAAAGGTCAGTGGCGTATACATATGTCGGAAAAAGGGAACCTAAACCCCCAATTGTTATAGGCAGTACGTGAGTCAGTATTTCCTTACTATATGATTAAAATTTGAGCCGAATCAGTCAAACGGTTTAAAAGTTATGAGAAAAAACGAATTTTAGTTTAAAACTTTGGAGGTCTGTATCTCAGTTATTTTCAATTTTTAGATACATGTTTTCCTTGGAAATTCCAGTAAGGAAAACTTCTACAGCTGAGGTAGAATAACAGCACGCCGTTGGGACATGGACATCAAATCAAACTTCCAGAATTTGGTAAAACAGGTCCAGTACCAAATCAAGAAGTAAAAAAAAATCAAAGATACAATCAAAAAAACAACAACAACTTCAACCCTAAAATATCACAAAGGTATTATCTGCTTTTTAAAACGAAGGTTTACTTACGCCTGGTTGAAGGATTAAAACCCAAAGGGTTAGACAATTTCAAACTAATCGCTCCGATAATAAATCCACATGTGCTACTAATCCGGACAAACCGTAGGATTTTTTTGTAAGGCTCAAAATGTCACAATATTGTCTCCAAATAGCCACCCAAAATCCTGAATAGGTTTTCCAAAGAATAATCCCGCATTCACGTGCGGATGGTCGAAATATTCACCAAATCTTCAAGAAAACCTCTAAACACATGCAGAAACTTCGAAGCATAAACAATAATTTGGAAAAAAAATAATAATAAAAAATAAATAAATGGCCTTCTTCCGGTAGTTACGGAAGCGTCACTAACAACAAATAAGATACCTGGAAAATAATCGCCCACTATAAATTTAGAGCCAAAAATGTCATTTTAGTGTCTGAAGTTAGGAACAAAGACATCAGTTGATAGCACTGCGATTCTGACGTTACATATGTACTATTATGACAGCGTTAGTAAACAACCAAAATTCGATCACAAAACCCCCTTAAATGCGCTAATACAAAGTATGGAAAACATTAACCGAACCTTGTTTTACCTTTTAAAGACCGCCACATCCTGGCTCCCTGACAAATTTCAACAAATCAGCTGTGAAATAAAGACAAAGTCACACCCTGGAACGCTTATAACATATTCAGGTAAAACTTTACTAAACATACTTATATTACCCAAATCTATCAAACTCTACTTTTAGGTTACAAAGCCATTCCCAGGCCCCATAAAACACGGAAGTCTACGCTGCAATACAAAAACGAATGTTTAAAACAACAAAATAAAGAATTTAACGAACTACTTGGTTGAACCATTTTTGCACTGTTACATAATTACACATATACGCGACAACAGTTACTGTCAACAACTGATTAAAGCAAAAATTTGTTGCTTGTATTAATTCTTTATAGACCAGGGTCGATAATTTTTGAAACAAAAAAAAATTACAGTAGGATGAAACCCATTGGAAAAGGAGGAGAATATAATAAAAAAGAAAGGAAAAATAAATTACGGGCGATCTGAGTTCGGGAAGTGGGGGGGTGAGGTTTTAAGGGTTAAAAATGGTTTATCTCGATTTCCGGCAAAACTACAAGTCCTATGGAAAAAAGTTAAATGGCAAAGTTGTATTTAATAAAAAGATCTACAACTTTTGTATTTACAGTTTTTTCATATAACCTAAAAATTTATGTGAAAAATTCAAATAACCAAGTTTTTTTTTATTTTGCTTTTTCAAAAAAAATTTTTTTCCACGGAATTTGGTGAAAACTTGCCTTTTTATGTCCCAAATACACTGTAATTTATTTGATTTGAAATATTTATTATTTCACCTTATTTTAACTTAATATCAAAAAAACACCCTAATTTTCAATCGAAAATTCTCGCGTCAAAATATCAGATTTTTTCAAAAAGTCGGTGTGCTTTTTGTTCGTTGAAATCTCTACTTTCTGATGGTGTAAAAAATATATACATTACTATAGTAAATGTTCTCAGAAAATGAAAAAAATCGAAAAAAACTCGAATTCGAAATTTTTTTTAATTATTATGTACAATTTCATCAAAAAAATGTGATTGCTGCAATTTTTTCAGTTAAAAAGTTTATTTATTAAATTCTAAACTTCCCTTTTTATGTCCCAAATACACTGTAATTTATTTGATTTGAAATATTTATTTTTTCACCTTATTTTGACTTAATATCAAAAAGCACCCTAATTTTCAATCGAAAATTCTCGCGTCAAAATATCAGCTTTTTTCAAAAAGTCGGTGTGCTTTTTGTTCGCTGAAATCTCTACTTTCTGATGGTGTATAAAAATATATAAATTACTATAAGTAGTAAATGTTCTCAGAAAATGAAAAAAATCGAAAAAACTCGAATTAAAATTTTTGTTTAATCATTATGTACAATTTCATCAAAAAAATGTGATTGCTGCAATTTTTTTCAGTTAAAAAGTTTATTTGTTAAATTCTAATTACATTCATGTCATAGAAAATCTCATGAATATTGAATTTAGATACTTCATTCATAGTTTTTGTCTCTTTGACGGAATTTCTTTATCGTTAGATTCGACAAAACTTTCCAACTCTAGTTGATCTTCGAAATCTTCAAGACCATTACCTTCTTCGTCTCCAATATTATTTTTAGTCTGCATTGGTTCTTCATCCACAATTTCATCTGACTCATTAACTTCCTCTTGGGTTTTTTCTTCCATATTCGAGCAATTTTCAGAACCATGACAATTTGAACATAAATTTGTGCATTTTAAACCATGTTTTCGGCAGCCACATTTTAAACTCTTACATCCACTTTCACAGCTGCAGCAATTAGTTTTGAGCAACATTTCCGGAATTAATTTATTTTCTGTAAATTTGGGCATTATGCCACGTTGATGTTGCTTCCAGCCCCAATCTGTTGCTGTCAGTTCTTTACCCAACCAAAATTGAAGCTGATAATATGCCCTGTAAAAATGTTGTTCTACTGATCCTTCTGTGGGTGGGAGGTTTGCCAAAATTAAACATGATTTAATTTTTACCAATTGATATTTTTGAAATCTTAATTGATTCAGTGTTATTTTTTCATTTTTACATTTATAAATAGATTTGATTATTTGTAATCCATTTTTTTTATATCTTCTTTACTTGAATATTTCTTATAAAAAACATTGGGTAAATTTGACAAATTTTTAGCGTCTATTAATGAATTTACGATACTTTTCTTTCCTTTTCCGGCAAATCCAGATTGTATCGCAACCAGAAAAACAATGCAGAAATGCAACAATTTTTTTGAAGGATTCATGTTTGAAACTATTAGACGTTAAAAATAGATCTTTTACATTTCCAGAACCTGGTTTGAGAAAATAAATGTCAGGATTATTTGAATTTAATTGATTTAAAAGGACCAAAAGATCAATATCTTGACCCACAACAATGACAGTTTTATTAGTATCTCTGGCAATTTCCATCGAGGTCTTAAATATGTCAGCATCAGCATCTTTCTCTACTTGTTTACAGGAAAATCCTTGTGACTGTAATCTTTTCAATAAAGTTTTGATTATTTTGTCCTTGTTTTTCTCGTTAGATAAAAAATTTTCTTGCAAAAATGGTATTTTTGTATGGTTTTGATAATCGAACTCTGGAATATTGTCTGAGGTTTTTCAACGACTACGTTCTCCTCTTTTAGTTGAATAGTCAATATAGCTGCTTGCTGCGTAATGTTTTTCTACATAGCGCAAATATTTATTCATGATCTCTTCCACCGTTTCATTTTTCTGCCAATTACTTTGTGCAGTAAAAATCCACCGTCGACGACATGCACTATCCCGTCAGAATGCGTTGGTCCATTCACACTTACAAATAATTCGTAGAGTTGAGATTTAACATTTTTCCTGAGGCCATTTTCTGTAAAAAGTGACAATGGAAAAGGTGCAAGCTCGTATTGTAAATAAGTTTCCATATCTTTTTTACTGTCGATCGTTAATGATATTCTTTGAAATAGCAATAATGGATCGATGGCTATAATATCTCCGTTTACTTTAACTGAAGATTGAACCGTTTGTAGAGACAAGACTTTGTTTTTCCTTTTAAATTTTACACTGCCAAAATTCATTCCAACAATAGCTTGCAAAGATTTTTTTCCTTCTTCATACGCTTCGTGGCAATTTACAGAATTACTGCCAATAATTCCAGAAAATATTGACATAATGTTATCAGTCTGTGGAAAAGGATCATACCTGTTGAAAAATTTTTGTAATATTTGTAAATCAGCTACATCTCTTTTTATTCTATATTCCCTTGAATCAATGTGTTGCTCTGTAGTTGCAAAAGAAACATTACAAAAATCTTCCATTTCATTGCAAACTTCGACAAGTATGATCCTTGTTAATACGAATTTTGATAAAACTCGTTCGATCGTCATATCCGTCCAAACTCCCGACCAAAACTTGTGAGTACGTCTAATTGTAAAGAATCCTTCGCTGAATCTCGTAAATTCATAATTATTATTTATTGTGTCTTTAAGCTATCTATCTTGGAGATAAAGATGAGCAGATTTTGCGTATAAAAAGTGCCCACTTGCATGAAAATAGGGAAGCATTCTTTCCACGCATTTTAAATGTAATTCCCAATTACCTGTACGTTCAGCCCTATATGAAATCTTTAACCAATGAGATCATTTGCCAGTACTGTTCCAAAGTTTTGCGGTAGGACCTCTTTTTTGTACTAAATTTAGATGCTCAATAAATTTTTCTTTTATGATCTTAAAATCTTCGTGATGCCAATTGTCTTCAAAATTTTCTGTTCCTAAATCCTGAAAAAATGTATCCATTAGCCCAGTGTCCGACAACTCCATCGATGAAAAAATGATTTCAGACAAGGCGAGCTGTACTAGATAATGTCCTCTGATAGCTCCTGCATATGCGTGCCCGGTAAGAGCTTTGTCGGACGAATTTTCGGCATATATTTTACAAAAAGCCTCCTTAAGTCCACTACCATCCACGATGAATCCAATCGCTCCGAGGAACGACATCAATAAATGAAATCCCCCAAGTCTTACTTGGATTGAGGATAAATTGTAGGGATCATTATTTAAAACAATACTGGCTAAGATTTCACGAGCTTTGTGGTATAGAGGTTGGTCAAACGTTACGAAAACAATATTTTGCTTTTGTTTTTGGCATTGTTTCGCCGCTTCTACCAACGATGTAAAAATGGTATCATAATCACTCGGTGGATTTTTTATAAACGCCACAGGAATAATTTTGGATGTACGATAAGTCAAATTAGTGTGTAACTTCTCCATGAACCCATTCCAACCATCGGATTTGTTGTTTGCAAATTTTGAATAAGACCATGTAAAATCTGCCGAAGAAATTTCATAGTTGTCCGTAACATCTAAAATATCTGCTATCTGAACTGTTTTTAATCCATCGGAATTTTTGTTTTCAAAACGTTTCAATTTCACAAATCCAATTTCGCCTATCTCTTCAGAAGATGGAATCTGTTTTAATCTGGAGATGGTTTTCTTTGAAATAACACTAGACGCCGAAGTAACAACCATTATTCCACCCATTGCATGGAAAGTGTTCTTGCCATCAATAGTGCATGTATTATGATCCTCATTGTCATAAATAAATTGAACGTATGAATCTGGAGAAAACGTATGATTAGCAGGGTCCTTGATAATCGACCCTTCAAAGCGCAAAGTTTCTTTATATGAGAAACACAAACCTAAATGAGTCGATCAATCCTTTGGAGGCATATTTTTTGTGAATCATCGACGACAAACCAAGTAAAATTGGAGATAAAAAAGAACGTGGCCTTACAGATGTGATGATGCAATGAGACATTGTGGCCACTTTTTTATCCATCCTACGAACATTATTTGTACTTTTTTTTTATTACTTTTACACACAATATCCAAAAAAACTTTCAAAGTTTCAGGAACATCCTTAAAAAGATTGCCTTCGTTTAAATCTGGAATTTCGTAGTAATTCATATCGTATATTCGAACGTATATCTTTTAAAACAATTTCATCAGCCATTTGAACAATTCTAGTTCGTTCGTCTTCTTTACTTTTTAATCTTTCTTCGTACCAGTCTTTGCAGAGTTTCTTACTTGCAGTACCAATTTTGTATAAAATTATCATGTCTCTTTTAATTAAATGACACTCGATATCGTTCTGAAAATGCTCTTTCAATTTATTTTTAATAGTTGTGTAGTCTGGGAGATCTCCTGAAAATCCCTCTTTTATTTCATTGACACAAAATTGACATTCTGTTTCGTTGTCAACGATATAATTAATAAGATAATTAATAAAATTCTTAGTGTTTTCACATACTGAGGGACCCCTTTTTCTTTCAGTTCTTTTGTTATTAAAATTAACCATACAAACAGTATGATAATGAGCTTTTACTGCGACTAAATCAGACACATTTCTCAAACGAGCTGAAATGTTTTTATCGAAATCATTTTATGTGTTTTGTTTTTGAATATGCTGTAATATATTATTATCTCTTGTATCGTTACTTTGAACATATGAAATTTTTTCTTTTGCAATATTACCGAAAAACCCTCCGCAGAGAAAGCAATGAGATTCAAAATTAAATGTAAGAGCGTCTTTATTTATTTCTTTTCCTTCCTTTGATTTCCTATGTCTTGAACTACAGAATGTAGCTATTGCAGTATCATCATTATATTGACTTTGACAAGTTCGATGAATAAAAGCTGATGTCAAAGTTTCAAATTTTTTGTATTTATTGTCGATTCTTTTCTTGCTAGACGCCACTAAACGATTCAAAGCTGCTTTTTTTATTTCATACACTTGCTTATCATCTGATTTATTGCAGATTATACAAACAGATTCATCCATACTGATAATCTGAAGAGATAAAATCAAATTAATAATGCCTTCAAAGTTTTATCGTATATAATACCACTAGTGGTAAAATTTTACCCATAAAATTTTTTATTTTTATACGAATGTTTTTTTCTTGGAAATTTCGCAGGTGAAATTAATTTTTGAGACCACGAGCCGCCAGGCGAGTGATTTTAAATTAATGCCACGAGGGAAAATTTTATCACGAGTGGTATTCGGCTAGACTATTCCACGAATAATGTTTTAGGTACAGCAAATGTTTTATTTAAATATTTATTTAAGCATTAAAATATCCAAATGGAACAACAAAAACTCACCCAACTAAATTAGAAACGTCAACATTGACAATTATTTTTCTCATAGCAACCGATTGGTTGCCATGCAACTCGTATAAACGAGTGGTTTTATCGCTGCAAAACTGAAAAAAACCCTTGTTTTCTGAAATCTGAAAAAACGAAAAAATTGGGAAAAAACCTGTTTTTTCCCTTTTTTCCCAGGCCTTGGAAAAATTGGCTTTTTTGGGAAAATTTGAATTTTTCTTAAAAAATATACACATTTTAATAAAAGTGGGAATCCTTTTTACAAAAAAAAAACAAATAAAACTAAACATTGAATTTAATTGATTTTTCTTTTTGAAGTTATAAAAATCTTCTTATTTAATTTTTTCTAAAAGCTTTACATAATAAATAATAGTGTTAATATATAATGACAATAATGACAATACAATTCATTATAATTAGAACCAATAAAATGCCAGTATTCCATAGTTACGCATTTTATCACAGCGACAATATTTTTTATCACCTTGTTTACACGTTGCTAAGGATTTTGACACTTTTCTTGATTTGACATTTGTTGACATTTAAATACTGTGTTTGTTAAATTATTAAAATAATGAATTATAAATTAAGGTAAGTTTGAATAAATAAGGTTTATTAAAGTCTTTTTATATTTTAAAGCACATTTTAATTTCAAATGTAAAACTGACAATTCGTTAAATCCTAAAATTCATTATATTTTCTCACTAAATATAACTCGTGGTATGATTAATTATCGATGATATTTACTCATTGAAACCGAAACAGCACATTTCACTCGTCCTGCAGACTCGTGAAATCTGCAGCTCGGTTTCAATTAGAAAATATCATCGATGATAATCATACCACTTGTTATATTATGGGTGAAAAAATTATTATAATAATTTTATCATTATAATTATAATGATAAAATTATTATAATAATATTATAAAATTATTATAATAATTTTATCATTATAATATTATATATTAAGACTATTATTTATTATGTAAAGCTTTTAGAAAAAATGAAATAAGAAGATTTTTACAACTTTCTCAAAATATTGTAGATCTCTTATTAAATATTAAATTTATTAACTTATTTGTTTGTTAATTATAGTAGTATATTTCGATTTGCAATTTTTTCGTTTATCAATGTAACATGGAATCTTACGTTTTTTGAGTAATTAAAGTGTAAATTTTAATAAATGGGTGAATATCCAAAACGGGGATAAATTGGGGTGGTAAAAAAATAAAAAGCAAAGATTAATAAAACACTAGCAAAATATTACCTCAATGTTATTTCTTAATAACATAAAGTAATTTCAAGGCGGCTATAAATTAAACTTAATACTTTTCTATTATTTAACAAAAAATAAATGAGTCCATGGAGTTGACGTTCTGAACCATGGAGTTGACACAATAACATAAAAACAACATAAATCTAACCTTGTACTGCCTGTTCTGTTGATTTCTGAATTAGATAAGATAACGGCAAATCATCTTCTGAATCTGAATCTGAATAGATGTCAGAAAAGAACCATCTTTTAGCAAATGTTTGCAAATGATTTTTAACATAAAAATTTCCAAATCCATAATGTTCGCAATCGTTTTGGAATGCACAGTCCAAGCAACTTAGTCGACGAAGATTTACAGAAGAAGGCCTTTCGATATTCCAGCACAACTGATGTACTTGCATCGTTCCCTTAAAGGTCTTTAGGTTAGGACATGATTGCTTTAAATTATACATAAGTTGATCAAAATTAGAAATATCATGTACATAGGCTACTAGTTGATCAGCAGTTCTCTTAAGATATCCACCAACCCCATCTACAGCTCCCTTGCCGTGACCGCTTTCAAAATAATTCCACGAAATTTCTTCCACTTCAAGTATCTCCGCTAGCTTTGTGCCGACTGAAATAAAACATGGTTTTGTTCTTGTACTGGGTACTAGGGCCGTCACTGCAAAAGTGCACTCTGTTTAACAATGGCATCCTTTCTTTGATGGTTTTTATGAGTGGTAATAAATGAGCTATTATAGACGCAGGATCATGCCGAATTTTTTCTGAAAAACTGCAGAATGTTTCTGGCTTGATCTCTCCATCAACATTGCGATACCAGACCACTGTATGCATGGAAAGCTGAGGTTTTGATCCACCAATCCGGCCGCCGGATAT